TACCTTCTATTCAGGTTGAGACTCCCATTATAGTCCAGTGACAGTTTTTTAGTGTGGATATATATATATGGATGGATTAGATAGCTACTGTTGAGATATCTACGATGTATCTACGTATCGGATCTCTGTTTGGATTGTAATTAGAATAGAAATTGTTCGTGGGCCTGACCCACTATTATTTTTCAGGTATCGGATGGTTCCAGTCTTAGAGCTTGTTCGTACTAAGCAGAGACGGTCACTCATTCTTCCGACTGCGTAGAACTGCTATTTGTATTTAGCTTTGGATTTCTGAGGGTCCATGCAGTATGGATTCCCGAGTTATATTTTGGAGGATCAGTTGTTATCAGAAAAATTTATTAATTAATGGAAAAATTTTCTGAGGTTTTCATTATTGGATTATTGGTTTAGTTTTCTTTCAGTAGATTTTATTTATTTCTTTTTATCATAATTGTATTCTGTATTCATTTATTGCCTAATTGTTTTGATATTCTCGGGTGTTCGGGCGTGGGCCTAGCCAACCCGCATCTAAAAATTCAGGAGTATCACACTTGTAGAGAAGCCTCTGCACAGAAAGAAGAGACGTAACCATACAAAGGATAAGAAGAGAAGGATTCTGAACAAGTTCTTAATTGGAATATGTCCTCATTCACAAGTCTCGAGTCCAAAACAGAAAAACACTATCCAATTTGTTCAATCAATGGTGGGCTTGGGGCGAAGAGGATGTCTACTTTAATCATACACAACAATAACATGTAGTACAAAACAAGAATTCTTTGCAACAAATTTTACTAGTACTATTCTTGTTTTGTTTATATTATTTCTTATACTTTATAGTACTATTTCTAGTGCTATTCTTGTTTTGTTTATATTATTTCTTGTAGTTTATAGTACTATTTCTAGTACTATTCTTGTTTTGTTTATATTATTTTTTGTAGTTTGATATCCTCTTACAGAACAAGAATAGTACTAGTAAAATTTGTTGCATTCGAAAAAGGCCGTATTCAAAAAAGGCCATGTTGTATTTTGAGAGCCATATTCAACGGCAAAATAAAGAAATAAGAGATAGAAACACATTGGAAAATATATACATTAGGAGTGTTGCCCAATGTAATTAGATGTCGTATTATATGTGTTTATTTTTCTTTATATATCTATTTTTTTAAAAAAAATTCGTCTGCTTATTTGTGTACGTGTTTTTTTTTTTGAGAAGGTACACCATGTTTATATGAACCGAACATGTTGTGCACGTATAACTCCTGTGAACCCCATACATGATGTACAGGTGCATCGATGATCTATACTTATTTTTTTTTTGACATTTTTCATCTGTCTCTTCACATATTTGTCCCTAAATTTTTCATCCAATACGTATTTATTTTCACTGACATTTTCATCCACATTATCACATACATGTCGGGAGATTCTTTACGTGTATGTTTTACCGCTGCATATTGATTATGCATCTATCTTCTGCATATTGATTACGTGTCTATCCTCTTTACATGTTGATTGGTGTATAAAGAGTTATTTCAACCCACAACTCCACCTACTTCAATGTCACTCTATATCACGTTACAACAGTAGATGTTGTGATCTTATAACCTACTCGAAAGCTTCATTTTTCAAAATATTTTTCACTACATCCATTGACGTCATACGACTCGAAGCACATAATTGGACCGAAAACTTTGTTTTCAATAATATTCTGAGTGGCATGATGAAACCTACTTGCAATGATTGCCTTGACTACAGGCCAGAGAGCTCATTGTCACATAAAGGTGAATAATAATGTATGTTCATGAAATTAAAATTTGTGTCTGAATATATATATTTTTCATAGTTAACATTATTTACAATAAATAAACACATAATTAAATAATTTTTAAAATTGAATGAATACAAAATTGAAGAAACGACTTCCACGTGTGCTTTTATTATCATCCCACTTTTCAAATAATGTATCACATCCACATGGTTATATATTTGTTTGTATGTATATTTTATGGCTCTCAATTTTAATGATGCTTATTTACATAAAAGAAAAAAAAGAAAAAAGAAAAAGGATAAGTTCTAGTTGTTCTATCAATATTTAGCTTTTTTATCCATATCTTTTTTCGTCTATTGAACTTTTTTATTTTATTTTTCACGTCATTTTAATTTTGCTTTGCATGCAATAGAGAAAATCTCCATTTGAACCATTGAATAGATGTGAATAAAGATATTTATATTTATTTATTTTAGATTTTTCATCTAATGTATTTGTTGACATTTTTTTATCTACGTGACATACGTGTCCCAAGATTCTTGACGTGTCTATTTTTTCTCTGCATGTTGATTATGTGTCTCTATTCTTGACGTGTTTACTTTTTCTCTGCATGTTGATTATGTGTCTCTATTCTTGACGTGTCTACTTTTTCTCTACATGTTGATTATGTGTCTCTATTCTTAACGTATCTATTTTTTCTCTGTATGTTGATTACGTGTCTCTCGTCTCCGTATGTTGATTAAGCTTGATTTGTGTATAAAGAGCTATCTCAAGATGTAGCTTTACCTGTATCAAGTAGGTGTTATGATCTTATGATCTACTTGAAAGTTTTATTGTTAAAAAATATCTACGAGTCCGTAATGCTCGAAACACTTCACTGTGGCAGGCTGGAAACTTTGAATTCAATTCAATATATTGCGTGTGGGCAGAATGAAGCCCATATGGCTTGAATGCCGACTAGAGAGGTTGTTGTTGCGGAAAGGTGAATAGTTCATAATAACGCATCATAAAGTAAGACTTGCAGCATCTAAGCATCTTTATCAAATTAAGATTTGTGTCTGACTATTTTTTTTTTTTTCGTTTTCTTTTCATAGTTAAACATCATTTGCTAAATATTTACAATAAATAAGCACATGGTTAAAGAATTTTTAAAGTTGTATCAATACGAAATTAAAGAAACTGCTACAATGTGTGTTTTCATTATCATCTCACCTTTCAAACAACGCATCACAGCCACATAGTTAGAATAGTTGATACGTGGGTCTGTATGTATATTTCATGCCCTTAATTTTAATGATGCAGGTTTACATACTGAAATGAGGGGAATCAGAAAGGAAAAAAAAAGAGTATGTTTATAAGATGTAATTATTCCATTAATATTTATCTTGTTTATCCATATATTTTTCTATCTATTAAATTTTTTTTATCTTTATTTTCACATTTCATTGGTGCAAGGGAGGAACTAATAATGGGCTAACTTGGGTTATAGCCCAGGTCTAATTGAAAAAAAAAATTTAGTACTATTGTTCTTATAAGCCTGTGTATTATTCTTCCTTTTCCTATCAGCCCAGCCCAATCCATACTATTTCTATAAATAAAAAGAGTTATAAAATTTACAAAGGTCAAATCTTAAATATGAGCAAGCCCATGAATTATAGACATTCCCAATCACAAAATAAACCATAATAAAATATAATAAGGTCTAATCCAGTAAATCAAAACACATTGTTAGTCTATCGAAGAAGACCTAAAATCTTCGTGTATAAGGCACTAAGGTATAAGAAGATGGATATCGTGGATTATTATTGTTAATCCAGTGAAATATTGAATTTTATTTTTGTATATATATATATATATATAAGGGGCTTTGTCGATGACTTGATATTTTCTTGTTAAATTGGGTAATTTACTATATAATGGATTAATAAGTAGTTAAGGGCGGAACACATAGGTCTTACTTTCTAATGTGAATTTATGGATAAGAAACATATATATAGTTCATTCTTGTAGTTGTTTGTTTTAATACTTATATGAAGTAAACTTCAATGGATTCTTGACTGTAAAAATACGTTAGAGTTTAGAAGTATAAATGTGTTAGAAAGTTGTAGGTTATTAGGTTTAATTGAATAACTGATGCATGATAATTATGTATTTAGAGCATGTATGGCACACTAAGCAATCATGGGTTTTATTATTTTTAGTCCTTTTTATTTTGCAATCCTGTCTCCGCCCCTGCATTGGTGTATCATTCTATTTTTACTTTGCCTTGAATAAAATAAAATCACCATTTGAATCATTTTCATCACTTTGTATCTGGTGGGTGAATCATGTGAAATATATATATATATATATATATATATATATTTCATTAGTTGTATTTATTGTTATTTCATCCGTGTGTGCATTTATATATTGCGGCTCTTTTTTAGTTTTTGCTTTTGAATGGATGGACAATTGAATTGAATAAAATTCTGATTACAAAGCCCAATCCATATTCCATACAGACTCTTGCATAAGCCTCACCCGAAGCCCAAGTATATTCTCTCACAGGCCAACACTTCAAACACCACCCAACCCAATTGGTGTCTGAAAATCTCTTCAAGCATAATAGAGAAGGAAAAGGCTTCACGTTGGGCCAATAATATTTCCTTAATTGGGTAGGAACTGCTTCTAGATTTGCTCATTTGGGCTGGGCCGGGTTTTTCCTTTGTAATGGCTCTAACGTTTGTCCTTTGTTTGGGCTTGTTTGGCTGATGCAGCCTTTGTAATTATTTACTCATATGTATAATTGTTTGATATTTCCGAAAAAAAAAATAAGGTTAAAAAATAAAAAAGAATAAGGTTAAGCTAAGCTCTCTAAAAAGTGCATTTCATCGTAGACTTCCAATTTTTTCTATACACATCCTCAATTTTTTTTCCTCACCTTTTTCCGTGCTCCTTTTTTTAAAAAATTACCAGTTACATTTATTTATTTCTATAGTACTCCACAGTATAATGCTCTAAAAAATTACCAGTTACTTTTTCCGTGCTCTAAATTCTAAATTTTAAACTTTTAAATTCGAATAAATATATATATTTTAATAAATTAAAAGTGTGAAAAGTCAATTCGTCTGTGTGGAAATCTGAACCACCTACCACGATTCGTGAGCGTTTGCCGAAACGTCGCAGTCTTGAACAACCCCACTACGGTAGCATTTTGTATTGTGTTGGTACCAACTCAGGACCGGGGGAGTACCCATCTACCTACCACTTTTCAACACCTACGCAACCCCACTTACACAGACATTGTTTTTGTTCAGAAAACCCCTCTCTTTCTGTGACCGTTCTTTCTATCGTGCTCTCTTTTCTTTCTTTCTGCTTTAACTCTCTCTCTCTCTTCTCAATTTGTTTGATCGTTCCGAGAATGGAAGCCAAATTATTAGGATTCGCATCTCCTGCAATACAAACCCATACTGGTTGTAAGCTTTCAAAACCCAGTTGCCTTTTTGCGCACAAAGGTGGGCGGATTTGCAGCTTTCGATTCATCAATACAAACTCGTCAAAACATGGGTCTCCATCTGTTCAAGCATCTGCAACTCGCATTGGGTATATAACTCTCTTCCTGTTTTTTTTTTTTTTTTTTTTTTTTTCCCCTACCTATTGTTCTTATTTCCACAATTTACCATTTGGGTTTTTCCATGAACCTTGCGAATCAATTTGCTTTCTGATAGTATTATTATTATTATTATTATTATTATCATCTTAAAAAGGGAATTTATTAATTATCTGTTGTGTTCAGTTGAAAGTGTATTAATGAGCACAATTTTATCTGTTTGGAATGTTTGCTCTCATTATTGTAGAATGTGGTATCTTTTGATTCTCTATTTAGATCAGTCTTTGATGCTTATAAATTTATTATGGCACAATATTCTCTCTTTTGGCTATTTGCAACCACTACTGTTTAACGTGTTATCTTCTGTTTGAATTATCAGGTAAGTTTCTACACCGTGTTTTGGAATTTGGGCATGATTTTATTTTTATTTTATTATTTTATAAAAAATAATCGGATGGAAAGTTCAATTAATTAAATTTTTGATCTCTTAATTGTCAACTCATGTCTTTCCAAATTTAACTTCTAGTTGTGAGAGGTGGATTGCACTTTATTGCAATGTAGATGATTCATGCAGTTGAAATTTTGGGGGTTCTGCTTCTAAGGATCAATTTTCAACCGTCGATTCTCATCTTCTTTTTGTTAGCTTGATATATGAGAGGTGGATTTTCTCTAACGCAATATAGGATAATGTTTGATTTATTATTCTCCACTCGTGAAGATCTTGTTTGGGGACCTGTTTGTTTGTTTGCCCCCACAAATTCACATAAATTCATATCTATCTGTTTATCATGCATTAAATTTTTAATGTGGTATACACAATTTTTTTGGATATTAGATTAGAGTCGCACAGTAGAATGTTCATGAACATGACTATGCTTCCTTATAAGCATGCACCATAATTTCCTTGTTGCCTATGTTTTTTTATCCTGAGAAATTGATTTATTCACAGAACATAAAAGCCCTTGCACAGTTTAGAATGATGGTTTTGTCTTTCTAACTTGAATGAATCATAATCAAGTTCATTTATGATAGCATGCATTCATAAACAATGTATTTTGATTATTTATTTGCCTACAAAGTCAATTGTTGCATATTAATACATGCACAAGCATGCAATGCATATCTATAAGCACACTATAAATCTTGAAGTAAAACACTCAATATGTGGTTATAGATATGCATTGCATGGGTTAACTTTTTGGAAGATCTCCAATTGAGTTTGACTTTCCACTAAGGGCTTGTATTATTAATGGGTGTATAGTTCAATAAATGACTGATAATTGTGCAGTAATCCATCATTAAATTATATCAAGACATAATTGCCATCTCTTGGAAGCTTTTTCTGAGCTTTTTAAAATAAAGGTCTGAAGTTTATTTTCTTTATTTGTAGATTGCCAAAGAAAGAAAGGGTCGATGAAAGTCAGAGCTATACTCTAGAGGGCATAAGACATTCTTTAATACGACAAGAAGATAGCATCATATTTAGTCTTTTGGAAAGAGCTCAATATCGTTACAATGCAGAGACCTATGACCCTAACGCTTTCTTCATGGATGGCTTCAGTGGCTCTTTGGTTGAGTACATGGTTAAAGCAACTGAGAAGCTTCACGCTCAGGCACATAAACTTAAACTTGTGGAAGTAGGGAAGAAAAACTCTAATTTATTGCAGGGTTCTGATTGATTTTTGATGATGCATCAGGTGGGAAGATACAAGAGTCCTGATGAGCATCCTTTCTTCCCTGATGACTTGCCCGACACAATGCTGCCTCCTTTAGAATACCCCCAGGTAAGATATTAAATTCAGTTGAAATGTGATGCTTTTACCTGAATTAAAATTTGATTCACTTATAAGCCTCTGGGGACAATTTGGTTATTGGTGAATTTTCTTTGAAGTTGTTGGAAGCTGGAATTATCATGAGTAATATAACATGGTTGAAGGCTTGAAGCCACCACCAAGCATTAGCTTGACTGGGTATCTCTTCCACTCGAGCATTAACTTGGCTAAAATTTTATGGTATTGACTATTAAGGATGGTTTATTCCATCTCTCTTTCTCGCATGTGCGAGCACGTGAATGTCTGTGCACACTTGTGATCATTTTCAATGAAAATCATCAAGTTATATCTTTGCAAGCATTCCTAATTTATCCTTGTTTCTAATATGCAAAATAGGTTCTGCATCCTATAGCTGATTCAATCAATATCAACAATGAAGTATGGGATGTGTACTTTAGAGATCTTCTTCCGAGATTAGTTAAGGAAGGAGATGATGGTAACTGTGGATCAACTGCAGTTTGTGACACAATTTGCTTGCAGGTACACAATTTGACTACGTCTAATTAGTTGGAACAGTTATAATGGGAAATGATTATACAATTATGAGGCATTGTTTGTGTTTTAATGATCAAGAAGGCTTTTGTATTATTCGACTCACTCATACTCTAAACCATGTATTATTATTCCCCTCCCTTTCCTTTCTGAGACATCGATGGCCTGACATGATGTTATTTTCTACCTTGAGGGATTCTAACTTGGCGATCTTGCTTAATATGTATTGTTGGACTCTTAACATGCAGGCCCTCTCAAAGAGAATTCATTATGGTAAATTCGTAGCAGAGGCAAAATTTCGAGCATCACCGGATGCATATGAAGCTGCCATTAGAGCTCAAGTATATTTTTCTTTTGTGTTTCATTTTATTGCATCTTTTATATTTTTCAAAATTTTCTTTCAAATCTTCTCATATCATGGGATGGAGATGGGTTTGAGGTCTTATTTGTATGGTGTGATGCTCGCTTTGCAGGACGGTGCCCAACTGATGGATTTGCTAACATACCCAGCAGTGGAAGAGGTAATCAGAAAGAGAGTAGAGATGAAAGCTAAAACCTATGGGCAAGAGGTGACAGACAAGATAGAGGAAGACAGAGCTGATCCCATATACAAAATAAAACCAAGCTTAGTTGCTGACCTTTATGAAGACTGGATCATGCCATTGACGAAAAATGTTCAGGTTGAATATTTATTAAGAAGACTGGACTGAAGTTAGTTTATCAAGTGAATAGTCTTAGTTTTGCTGTGTGTGATAAGTACAATGATGAAAAAAATGCTTGTGTTTTTGTACAGAGTGGTAGTATATATGCCACTATGTCATTCTGAGTGTTAAACTAGTCTCCTTTTGCTGTATATTTTGATCTATTGAGTATGTTATTCCAGGTGTTAATAATGCATCAGCACTATACACGTGTCTATTTTACTGAGCTTTTCATTTGATACAGTATGAAGACGTGGGAGAGAGAAACACAAAGGAAAATATTTATAGTAATGAATTGCAATATCATTCTCATTATTTTCTAATTATAAATCATTGATATGAAAACATTCCACGTATTATAATTAAAGAATATAATGTTGCGTCGATAAAATTGAAAAATGGTTTCAATAAACATGGCATGTTTCAATAAATTCATTTTGTGGGTGTTTTTCACACTTTTTTTTTGTTTTTGTTTGTTTAGATCTGCTTATGCTTGGCTTGTTATTGGCTAGTATGGATGGATCTGTTATTTTCTCTTTGGTTAGATCTTGATCTATGTCGGTTTTGGTTGTTCTCGACTTGATTAGATTTTTTTCCTCGATTTGATCATGTGTGGGTTTTGGGTGGTTTTTGTTGGGTTTAATTAACAAACAACAATTAGAAATCAAAATTGATCATCAATTAAGAGAGGGTTTGATCTCATATCTGATTAGAAAATTAAACTTGAAATACCTTTGAGAATTCTTTATCGGCTTTTGAGATATCTGAAAAATAGAGCGCTTTATCCCTTTCTGAAAGTTATCGATACCATAGGACTGAATAAGGGTTTTAAAACTCCTATATATAACAACAACAACAGGGAAGACGATTTCTCTACAAACAAGCATATCTAAATCTCCCTTCCTATCATGGAAACTTAGATATCAATGATTAGAAATAAATCACACCAAATAAGTTGGAAAACCATAATCCAATGGTATAAAACCATACTCCCAATTATACCACAAAATTGGAAAGTACAAACTTAATCCATCAAGTATCAATAATTATATTGCAATCCTACTTTAGAAAACATAGTGCGTAGGACCATAAAATAATTTTTATTGTTTAAATATATATATATAAAAATTCCAACAATCTCCCACTGGCAAACTTTAGTAGTTATGTTTAGATTTATCAATGTGATGCCAATTTCACATCTAGCCCAAACAATTTCATGAGTGCAATACCACTCTCAAGCAACAAGAATAACACGTGCACATATCATATACAACAATGTAATAATAATAATAATGATGCATCATAACTTTATTTTCATGCAAATAACTATCACCAGAAGGTGTAAATAAACTGAAAGAAACAACTGCAATGTAACATGATGTAATAGAGAAATCAGACATCATAACACAATGACTCTTGAATACACATCCGAATCACGTGCTCTTTAAATATTTTTGGCTAAAGACCTTTAGTGAAAGGATCTGTAATCATCATTGCTGTATCTATATGGGGAACCTTAATAATACCTTGTTTAATCTTCTCGCACACGTAAAGGTACTTTACATCTATGTGCATATTACGCTTGGTCAATTTTTCATTTTTCACATATTTTGTGACAGCTTCATTATTACAGAAAATTATCAAAGGCTTGTGTATGGAGTCCACAACCTTTAAATCCGCAATAAATTGTTTCAACCACATAACACGTTTGGTCGCTTCATAACAACTGATCAATTCTGCATACATAGTTGAATCTGCGATAATAGATTGCTTAGAGTTTTTCCATAATACAGCTCCCTGAGCCAACATAAAAATATATCCAGAAGTGGAATTTCTACTACTCGAACAACCTGCATAGTCCGAATCAGAATAACCAATTATCTCCAAACAATCTGATTTCCTGTATACCAAGATAAACTCTTTTGTTCTCTGAAGATATCTCAAAACTTTCTTCACCGCCCTCCAATGAGCAATACACGGATTTTGCTGAAATCTTCCAAGCATCCCAACTACATAACTAATATCTGGTTTAATGCACGTCATAGCATATATCAGACTTCCAATTGCAGACGCATATGCAGCGACATCAATATTACTTTTCTCAATCTCATTCTTAGGACATTGTTCCTCTGAAAAAATATCCCCTTTTACAACTGGAACCTCACCAGGTGCACAATTTTCCATCCCAAAAGTTTTTAAAATTTTATTAATATATGCCTTTTGAGATAAACCAAGTGTTCCTGTCACGCGATCTCTATGGATCCTAATACCAAGGACAAACTTAGCATTGCCCATATCCTTCATATCAAAATGACTTGATAAAAAATTCTTCGTATCATGTATTGCATGAATGTCATTGCTAGATAGTAAGATATCATCAACATATAAAACAAGAATAATAAAACGACTCCCACTGACCTTGAGATATATGCATTTGTCTATAATATTCTCCTTAAACCCATAACTAGTAATCACTTCATCAAATTTCAAGTACCACTATCGTGAAGCTTGTTTAAGCCCATAAATTGATTTTTTTAACTTACACACTTGATGTTCATGTCCCTTAACCACAAAACCTTCAGGTTGAGACATGTATATCTTTTCCTCAAGGTCTCCATTAAAGAATGCTATCTTCACATCCATCTGATGCAACTCAAGATCATAATATGCAACAATAGCAAGAATGACTCTCAAAGAATTCTTTGATGAAACTGGAGAGAAAGTCTCAGAGAAATCAACACCTGGCTTCTGCTTGAAACCTTTAGCTACCAATCTAGCTTTATATCTATCAACATTTCCAAGTGAATCCCTCTTGGTCTTAAAAACCCATTTGCACTCCACCGCATTGCGATCTGTAGGTAAATCAGTAAACTCCCACACCCCATTAACATCCATAGAGTGCATTTCATCTTTCATAGCATCTATCCAACTTGAAGATTCATGACTCCCATGGCTTCATTAAATGAAATTGGATCTTCATGCTCGCCAATGTCAACCTCACTAACATACACTTCAAAAACATCAGGTATAGCGGATCTCCGAAATCTAGAAGATCTTCTAAGTTGATCAAGCTCAGAAAATGGATTAAAAGTTAAAGCAAGAGGTTGCATATGAGTAATAACTGAAGGGGTAGGACTAGGAGCTCTGAATGGAATCACTGAAGTTGGAACTAAATCTGTAGTAAATGGAATAGACACAGAAGATTGCTCCTCTGTAAAAAAGAAAGTACGATGATCTAAACTCCCACTGGATTTGTCATTCTCAATAAATTTTGCATGACTAGTCTCAACAATCTCCATAGGTCTAAAGGGACAATAAAATCTGTAACCAAATGATCTCTCAAGATACCCAATGAAATGACAAGTAACAGTGCAAGGATCAAGCTTTTTAATATCAGGATTATACAACTTTGCCTCTGCAAGACATCCCTACACATGCAAATGTCGAAGACTAGGTCTACGACCTATCCAAAGCTTGTAAGGTATTTCAAGAGCTGCTTTACATGGCACCCTATTAAGAATATAAACTGCCGTTTTAAGAGCTTCTCCCCAAAAATTCTCAGGTAGTGAAGAATGGCTCATCATATTACAAACAACATCTTGATAGGTGCGATTTCTCCTCTCTGTAACTCCATTTTGTTCAGGAGACCCAGGTGTGGTATACTGTGGCACTATAGCATGCTCTTTGAAGTACGTGACGAAAGGACCATGATTCATACCCTCCTGGTCCATTTTCCCATAATACTCACTACCTCGGTCTGATCATACAATTTTAATCTTTTTGCCTAACTGTTTTTTAACTTCAGTTTGATAGATCTTAAACATGTTAAGTACATCGGACTTTTGGTGTATTAGGTACAAATAAGCATACCTTGAAAAATCATGTCCTCCTCGAAAAGCGGTAGGAAACAGGGCACAAATATCTGTGTGAATAAGGTCCAATAGACTAGATGACTGACTAGCCTCAAAGTTGCGTTTCTTCTGCATCTTTCCCTTGACACAGTCAACACATAAATCAAAATCTGAAAAATTTAGTGGTCTTATAATCTCATCCTTGACCAAGTGTTCAAGTCTCTTTCGAGAGACATGCCCCAATCTCCTATGCCATAACATAGATGAATCCTCTCTAATAAAAGCACGTTTTAATCCGGAAGGTATCGAATCCACAGAAAAACAAGAAGTAAATATATGAGAATCATCCAACAATAACTGATATAAACCATCAACTAAACAACCATATCCAACTACATTATTACCATAATGAATAGTAACTGATCCATCACCAAAAGAAAACCGAAAACCCAAAACATTAAGTCTTAAAACTGAAAGTAAATTATGCCTAATAGTAGGAACATAAAAAACATCCTGAAGCTCTAAGGAAAAACCAGTGTGTAACACTAGCGAAATCGTCCCAACAACTGCAACATGAACCGCATCAGCATTACCCAACACCAATTTCTCCTCAGCCCTGGGTTTTCTCTGGCTTCGAAGTCCCTGTGATGAACATGAGATTTGAATAGATGCACCCGTATCAATCCACCATGTATAATTGGGCACATTTACAAAGTTGGATTCAAATATTACCATAGCAACTCCCATACCTGCTTTGTTTTTCTTTAACCAATTTTTGTAACCGTAACAGTCTTTCTTTTGATGTCTTTTCTTCTTACAGAACCAACATTTATCATTCGCATTTGCATGCTTAATGTCTTTTCCTTTGTTGTCCTGCTTTTCATTTTTCTAAATTGTCTGATTCCCTTTCTTGCTGCCTTTCCACTTGAAGTTATTCCTGCTTTTATTGCTTATGACAAGATGAGCTGACTCAAATTTAGCACCCTTGAGCCGCTCTTCCTCGGTCACACAAAGTGTCAATAGCTGATTAATGTCCCATTTTGTCTCTTGTGAATTATAATTTACCCTGAAAGTATTAAAAGATCTAGGCAGAGAATAGATCACCATGTGGACCAATAACTCATCATCAAATGTGATTCCCTGCTCCCTGAGACCATTAACCAGCTTGCATATCTTATAGATATGCTCCCTCACTGAACCACTGCCATCATAACTAGTTGACATAAGTTGTGTTAAATAATAATACTGAAGTTGCTTCTTGGTACCCACGAACTGCTTCTTAAGTAAATCAAGAAGCACCTTGGCAGTATCAAATACAGGAATACCACCACGAATAGTCTCACCAATA